TACATCTAATGGCAACGCAATTCTTTCGTAAAGCAGTGAAGTGAGTAAATGGGTGTGGTGTGTGGATGTCGGTGGATCAAAGTACACGTATCATCCTTGTGCTCACCCACACATCCACACCTAACAACAGAATCCATCGATCACTCTGAACTGACATTTTACTATTGACTTCCATTTATCTTGTAAAAGATCGTATTGCTTTACTCAGTCCCTCTTTTATTCAAATATCAAACGTTCTCATCAACAAATTCATGAATAACTGATTTAACGAGATCAAAAACAAGAAAAGATCAGTGTATATTTCTGGTAATATAATAGATTTTACTCACTTCACTGCTTTACTAAAGAATGCCATTGGGTGTTGGTGCGGGTTTGTCAAAGCACAGACATCACCGCTGTGCTGATGAACACACGACAGTCAAGATTATGTAAAAGGTGTCTCTTTTTCAGGTTGATTTCTCTGAAGCTACTTTGAAATTATTAAAAGAGTGGAAGAATGTCTGCAAACCGTGTTCTTTTGATCAGTTTGATTGTAACATTGGTTATTGCCATCGGTGCTTGTATATGGGGTGCTGTCATGACATCTAAATTTGTTTATGCTACTCGAGATAAAGAACCACTTTGTGACAATGGAAAGCAAGAAGAATTTGACTTCGTCGTTGTTGGACTCGGTGCTGGTGGCTCTGTGATTGCCTCTCGTTTATCAGAAATACCGCAATGGACAATACTGGCAATCGATCGTGGCCCAAATGAAGTATCTACAGATGTTGATCCAACTTCCGCGATTTCAGGATATAGTTTTGTGTCCCCTCATGATCCAGTGGCTACCAGTTTGCCATTAGCTGCTGCCAATAAAAAAATTATGTATGTACCTCGCTTCAACGGCCTAGGTGGCACTGCTCGGTTATATGGTGGTATCAATGTTCGTCCCAGTCAGACTATCATGCGCCGGTGGCCATCGAATTGGACTTACGATGATCTGTTACCGTACTACAAAAAAATTGAAGACCATTATTGTTATTATTTTGATGCAAACAGTACGGGAATCTCTGACGAAGATTGTAAGAAATATCATGGCAAAAATGGACCCCTTCAAGTGAATCCAACTTACATACCTGAATTTGCCAATGTCTCAAAATTATTCGAACCCCTATGTCGAAACAGCTCACTACTATGGGGAGGATACAATGCAGATATCAATGGTGCTAATCATATCGGATGCGCACTTTTTCAACGTTACTTTAATCGAAAAGGAAATCGAACAGATGTTCAATCAGATTACTTTCTCGGTAAGCCATAAATATTTCATATCATGCTTTATATTTAATGAAATTTGAAAGTAACAAATCGTCCCTTTATTTAAAACGTTAAGTTTCGATAGATACATTTTCTTGAAGGTGATGATTCAATGAAGCGCCACACCCGCATCCCACCATAAACACACACACAAATATGATTTTAAATAAACTATCTATGAGTTCCTTGCAGGTACATCCTTTCAAGGTTACATAACAGTCGACGTCATCAAACGAACCAATTTGCGAGTTCGTGCTGCTACTACAGTTCTCAAAATCTTATTTGACACTTCTGTGCAAGGACCAGCAAAAGCTCGCGGTGTCATTATTCAGAATAGCACGGGAATATATACAATATCCGTTCGAAAAGAGGTGATTGTGGCTGGTGGTGCATTCAGTACTCCACATCTACTGCAAGTAAGTGGCATAGGTGATCCAGCTATTCTTCTGTCTGCTCAAATTCCATTTGTTGCTGCTAATGAATACGTTGGTCGTAATCTACGTGATCATGTTGCTGTGCCAATGGTTTTTCAAGTTAAAAACAACTTTTCTACCTATCCCATCTATCCAAATACCAATAATTCTTCTATAGTCTACAAGAAATCTATTCCCAATGGTAGTAAATCATGGATAATTGCATTGAATGCGGGTGTCCGTCCAAATAATATAACAGATCTTCAAATTTATTTCTCTGACACAAATTATCATTCACCAGATTTATTTGGTAATAGTGAACCTCGGCAATGCCGTTTTGGTTCCAACGGCTATCGAGAGTCTCCAGCAGAAATCACACTAAGAATGATACTACAAGATCCTACGTTTCTTGGAACAGTCACAGCTACTAGTGACAATATTTATGACAAGCCACTGATCGATTTCAAATGGGACAACATTACAGATTATGAATACGAAGTATTCAATAAAACAATTGTAGCAATACGAAATCTAGTCAATACAACTCAATGGGGACTTCTTTTAGGTGGTGAAGTTTTCCCTGGACCTAATACGGACATCAAAACATTCATCGATGGTCATTTAGAAACAGCTTTACATCCGATTTCTACGTGTCAGATGGGCTTGTGCTCCGATACCAGACTTCGTGTTTTGAATACGACCAATGTGCGGGTGTGTGATACATCAGCATTCGGGGGTCAAGTGGATGGTAATCCATCAGCGACCATCTTCGCGTTAGCCGAACGACTGAACGATATTTTACGACAGGATTATGGATATAATGTTCAACAAAAAGACATGGAAACGGTTATTGATGATGGTGAAAGGGCTGTATCCGATGGTGACACAATTTCTCCTGAAATGTTACAACATCTAAAAGACTATTCAGAACATTTCTCATATGCTGCTTAAAATATTTTATTTTTGCTTGCTGCGATCATAATTATATCCACTTTATCTTATTCTCAAAAATCTAATAAACTATATGAACGACAGTGTCGATGTTTTTGAGTTGTAAAACATTTAAAATCACGAAGAATGATTCAAATTAATATTAAAGCGTCATAAATTCTGTACTCACAAGTTTCATAGCTGTAACTGACTGATACAAAAAGTACGAGCTATAGAAAGAAGCTATCATTATACCCAGCTCAGCCGTACTAACGTATCCTCAGAAATTTTCAAGTATTTAAATATTTATATGGGCAGATCAACGAGAATATTCTTATAATGGTAGTGAGAATTTAAATGCAATCGATGAGTGTTTATGAATATGAATTGAGTGTGGATACCAAGAAGAGAGTGTGGGTGTGCATGTCGTTGGCATTGCCAAACCATCAAACTTATGCATATTCCCTCCATCACCACCCACACCCACTTGATGACTATTCACAGACTCGAAATCAAAGTATAACGAACAGAAAATATGTATATTAAATTGTCCAGCGCTTGTCACAACAGTCATATACTATTTAATGGCTGCTTGAATTCTACTTTCTTCAGAAGTAACATTTATACATGATCGAACGTTAGAGTCTGTATATACAATTAATTGCGCACAAGAAAATAATGTTGCAACCATACACTCAAGTGGAAGTGATTGTATGAGTATACATCTAATGGCAACGCAATTCTTTCGTAAAGCAGTGAAGTGAGTAAATGGGTGTGGTGTGTGGATGTCGGTGGATCAAAGTACACGTATCATCCTTGTGCTCACCCACACATCCACACCCAACAACAGAATCCATCGATCACTCTGAACTGACATTTTACTATTGACTTCCATTTATCTTGTAAAAGATCGTATTGCTCTACTCAGTCCCTCTTTTATTCAAATATCAAACGTTCTCATCAATAAAATCATGAATAACTGATTTAACGAGATCAATAACAAGAAAAGAACAGTGTTTATTTCTGGTAATATAATAGATTTTACTCATTTCACTGCTTTTCGAAAGAATTGCATCGCCATTAGATGTGTATTCATACAATCACTCCTAATTGAGTGTACGATTGTAACATTATTTTCTTATACGCATTCGATTGCAGATACAGACTCTAATGTTCCATTCTCTATTAATATTACGTTTGATGGAAGTATAAGTCATATTCGCATTATTCTTGTTATTTAGTTCATCTCTCACTCGACGTCGATCTAGATGGGGAAACTGAGCATGTTGATATTAACATTCATCATCTTGATCTTTGGTAAGCATGTTCAGAGGCTAGTAACACCTTTGGCTTGACACAGCAACATTGAATTGTTCAATGTATAGGGTATATAACTCTGCGTAGGTTTGTAGATCAATTCATTAAAATAAATAGAGTTCGTTTACATTTTGGTTAATAAACAAAGTCTCTTTAAATAAGATGCGTCTCACAGAATCCGCCTTGCATAAGAAGAAAAAAGTTTGAAAATAGTATCTAGTACTCTTATCTTTATATTTTATTCTCTTTTCTGTGCGATCAGATAACAAGAATGTCATCAAAGCGGACAATAGAGATTTAATTATTTGTAATTCAACAGTAGACTAACGTGCATGAAAAAGCTTTCGGATTTTCTATAAATAGGTTAAATCTCATTTAAGGACGAACATTTAAATGAATACTTAAGCTATTTCTATGTTTAGCTCTTATTTTAACCATTCAAGAAAGCAGCACTTTAGTACGACCCTAATAGTAATTTTGACTATTTATCATGCATAGCTAAATGATACAATTTTTTCTTTTGACTGCATTGGCATACCAGTTTCGCATATTTTTTGCAGTAAATCAATTCATTTATGTGGCTACTATTCCTGCTCCGGCTCCTGCACCAAATCCACTTCCATATTATCTTTATCAAATTCTTACAACGACACTACCATCCCCACCATACCCTGCGATCTTTCCCATGTCTGATCGTGATGCCGCCGATGGCTTTGTGCATCTAGCTCGAGCCATCAATATTTTGCCTCTTTTCATGCAAAATTACAATAATTCTGTTCAACTGAGTGTTCTAAAATTAAATTATGCATGGATGCGTGAAAATGGACGCTATGATGTTCGATGGGAATGGTCTCGTTCCAACTCGACTATTTATCCACATTTGTATGGAAATACAACACGAGAAATGATAGTCGATGTACGTACTTGGTCACGAGCACAATATGCGTTGTGGAATAGCACAAGTGTTCCTACTGATGAATGGCTAACAGATGACTGTGATATGAAGCATGCTTCATTCATAATCACTTTTTTTTTGCTATGTATACTTATCATTTAATGTATACATATGAGCATGAATCAGTTAAATAAAAGACTAATGAAAATAACAAAATGCCAATATACAAGTCAGTCACGCCTATAGTCTGACAATTTATGATAAAAATTAAAGCAAAAGCTACAGAAGACGAGCGAGAGACACAGCTAGACTAATAGACAACCAAATATAGAGATCGATAATTTGTACAACACAATTCCTTCACTTTCTCTACAAAGCTTCACTTCATTTCATTGATTATTAATTCCTTGTTTGTTGGTGAAATAACTGACATTCAAAAACGAAAAAGCAAGAGGCCTATCATGGTAAAACCTACCATATTCGAAAGTGAATATTGTTGACTTACCGAGGACAAAAAAGGTATTTTTTCTAAAATAAAAATTCTATCTTGACGTGATCAAATGGAACTTAAGCAATTGTTGGCATAGAAAACATTTTTGTACAGATTGATAATAGACATTATGATGGGTTCTGGGTGTGGATACAGGTATGAATGCAACAATGCCAATACAGTATTGGTTAGTATTGGTATTGCCACATCCATAGGTACATGTTACAAGAAACCTACACCTTCAACTTTGATTTTTATTGTCAATTTACTTGGAGATAATTTTCTCCCTATCGAAAATTTCGCCGTTCTGTTCTTAAGTGTGGTTGTTGGTCATTTTGATCGAAGAGAAGATTTCATTCGACACCCACACCCACACCCTAGTAATGCCAGATGTATAGATTGCACCGAATTCATCCATTGGGTACATGCTCTCATTAGCTCTCAGCATTTGTTCTTCACGCTTCGCTGTGCACCAATAGCGTTCAGGTTGTTTAGTGTCATCGAGTTCTGCGTCAAGACTAAGATAATAATTAGATCGTCGAAATAGATTCTCTTCTTACGCTCCAGCTCCTTGCCGGTACCCACCACCAGATGTTGTTGCATTAGCCATATTGAGTAGCACTGGTCGACTTTTGTCTGCTGCTAATTTTTCATAAACAAGCAAACGATCATTGATCCCTACCTCCACTGTTGTGATTTGTTATGGAGATTTAAGAACAGATTGCATCCCTTTACTGAGTGGCAGTTTCGATCGATGATTGTAGGCTATGGTTTTCAACTGCTCAAACTTAAATTTGATCTCCTTTTTATTGCCGCCAGTTTCTACAGTATAACTTTTGTTATGAATCACACCGATCGTGTTGAGCATCGTTGTAATGCGTAGCAGATGCCTTTTTCGATCACTCTGTTGATCACGCACGCCTTTAACACGTTCGAATTGTTCGAGCCAATTTTGAGCATTCCATTTGTATTTGAAGATGGGATGTTCCGGAGTAACCACGAATTGTTTGATGTCAGGTCTTTTTATGTCGAGCTTTTCCATTTCGTACCAGTTGTCGGCATCTATCTCGATATTTTTTGGATCGTTTAGAATGACTGTAAATGGATCGATGGTCATTGCAGGACAGTCATGCACACGCAGTGCACTCACAGCTAAGCATTGATCATATACAGATCTATCATTGAGTTCGATAATGAGCTTTTCATCTATCTTTATATGTTTAGTGACAACCTTTTGAAATTGCCTGTGTTGAGTGATGAGATTAATTGGGGCAGAAGAAGACACCGGATGAACGACAACACGAAAAGCGAATTGCGACTTTTTGAGAAAAAACTTGACTGTTGAAAGACAGATAGTCTATATTTATCCACTTATGAGCTGCGTTAGCTGCTAGTATGATAGCCCTCGATGCTTCCTTGTTTTACTGAACATATACTGTTTGCTGGTCGTACTGACCGCCATTATGTGTATTAATCGCCGTGGTAATATGAGTGGTAGTGATATTCTCTGGCAGATCTTCGACAAAACTGCAGTCAGCTCGTAGGTAAACATTCGCAAATTGTTCATTCACTTTAAATATATCGAGTGTTCGTATAGCGAGAAGTTCACCGAGAGAGCGAGATGTTATTTTGAATATGTTTGGAAATAGTACAGAAATTTGTTCACATGGCGGTAACTGAGGCGATTTACTTAGTTGTGCCCAACGGCGAGCAACTTTGGCCGCGATTTTTGTCTGTTTCGTTTTTTGATCAAAAACTAAATAGAAAACGAGTTCAAGTTGTCTAACGAACGAAATAATGATATTTCTTTTAGGATCGATTTGGTAGACAAATGTCGAAAGCAAAACGTCGACAAAAAATGTCGACAATGTAAAATGTCGACAAAAAAATGTCGACAATGTGAAACGTCGACAAAAAAATGTCGAAAATTCTATCATGATATAGGAAAATCGCGTAGAATATGGCGTCATCTTCTTTTTTCTGTTAGTGCACTTTCTTTATGCGTGTTGGCCTGGATGTAGCTAAATACGAATTTTTTCGAATTTATAGTGAAATGTCCCTAGAAAAATGTCCTTAACGAAATATTCCTTTCTTCTCGCTCTTTAGTAATCTCTTGTACAGTATAGACGAGATCATTCTAGATGATTTTCTTTATTTCTTCTTCGTTCGAGGTAATTCTTGCCCTTCTCTCATATATAAATACTCGTCACTTGTGCATTTAACATCATGGCAGTCTATTCAACACATTCTATCTTTTTTATTTCGTTCTAGAAGCATATTTTTCTTGATATGTCAACTGTTCCTAGTCTTAGCTTTTTGACCAGCAACAAACGCAAACCAATCTTAATATGTGATGGATTCATTTTTCAATTAAACCGTACGCGACCAAAGTTGAAGTACTGGCGATGCAAAGATCGAACTTGTTCAGCTTACATTCATACAAATCACAAGAATCAATATGTTGGAAAATCCGGTGATCATAATGTTCATTTACTAGTGCCTGAACAAGTTGAAGTTGCAATGTTTAAAGAGAAGGTGAAAGAACGAGTTGTGAAAGAAACAACGGCGATCGGAAAGATTTACGACAAGGAAATGGCTTCTCTTAATCTGAGTGATGGTGCTCTTGGTTTAATTCCTTTGGCTGACGAAGCAAGTTAGTATTTTTGTTTTTCATGTCCTGTTTGTTCATTTTTTCTAAACTTTAGAAGCATCGCTTAATCGTTTACGACGACAAACAACACCACCATTACCAACATCATCTTGTTTCGATGTTCCCGATGCCTATTCAACGACAACCAGTGGTGCACAATTTTTATTCAGTGACACAGTTGTTCGAAAGAAGCGGATGATGTTGTTTGCAACAGATGAGCAATTGCGTATGCTTTTTTCAGCAAAAACCATTATGATCGATGGAACATTTTCGGCATCTGTACCACACTTCAATCAAGTGTTTTCGTTGCATTGCATCAAGTATGGATACAGTAAGTCAATGCAAATTTTTTTAAATACCTATTTAACAGTGAACTATTTTTTCTTAAAGATTTTCCATGTGTTATCGGTTTGTTGCCTGGTCGAACTGCTTCAATATACAAGCAGGTCTTCGAGGTATTGGATGCAGCAGCTCAACGGCTTAATTGCAAATTTAATCCTAACAAAATCATGTCCGATTTCGAGCAAGCTCTCATCAAGACAATTGTTTCATATGTAAGCAATAACTTTCATATCGATCTGGTTTTATTACATCTTTACTTCTTTTAGTTTCCGAACGCGAAACATTCTGGATGTTTCTTCCACTACACACAGTGCTTGAATCGTCGTATTCAAACACTGGGATTAAGCAGGTTTTACAACAACGATGAAGAAATACGCTCGTTGTGTAGACATTTGATGGCTTTACCACTAATGCCACTTGAAGATGTTCAACGAGCTTTTGAAACACTTAGTGAAGAAGCTCCAGTGGAATTGCAACCATTTTTTGAATATTTTGAGGATTGGTGGATGAAGAAGGTACCGTTTCGTCTTTGGAATGTATCGAATTTAAAAGTAAAAACTAACAATAATGTTGAATGTAGGCATACTTGTTTTTTTTGTATTGTTCTAACCTTATTTTTCTCATTGTAGCTTGGCATAGTCGATTCAACAAAAGAATCGAAAAAAACCATCCTAATTTTTGGTCCTTTGTGAATACATTGAAGCAAGAAGAAGTTCATTTTAGACAACAGTTAATTCATGGCAATTCTAAGTTAAAAAAAGGCGTCAAAGAAAACATGCACCATGCAGGATAAACTTAAAGAACTTCGAAGGAGATACGACGAACAAACGATTAAATTGAATGAATACCACAACGAATTATCAAAGCTTATCGGCACAAAATAAAAATTATACGAATGTGTTGGTACATGCCTTGAATCTATGACTCTAGCTCTTCGTTCTCACTCATACGCATTTTTATTTTATTTTTTATTGATATGTATTCGAATTTTACCTAATAAACCATAAATTTAATTTATTCATGCTTCAATTTTAGTTTTTCTTCATCAGCCTCTTTTCGTTGTATTTCATGATGTCGACGTTTCACATTGTCGACATTTTATTGTCGACATTTTATCGTCGACATTTTATCGTCGACGTTTGACTACTTTCCCCTTTGTGCTTACATTACTATGGTGATTGCTATTTAAACGTAAATCGATCATTCGTTCCAACTCTGCGGCATTTATATCAGCCGGTAGATCATGAATGTAGACAATATATTCCAGCACAGTTCCTATGATTGTCGATGTCTGCTGCGGAGTAGCCGGGAAAGAAACTGGTTTTACGGGATCTATGCGCATTATTTGGCGGCGCCTTTCGGGGCGTGTTCCTTCATGCCAGATTATACAACGCTTGTCATTATGTATATTGGAAAACGTACAAACTTGACATTCCCATTCGGTAGGTAGCTGGTCTGGACACTGCTGTGCTTGTTCTGCCAGTTGGTGAGAGCTTACTGCGACTCGTAAAGGTGGCGGCGACGCCGCATGACATTTGAGGGAGCCAGATACAGATATTGACGAAGTAGGGATAGACGACTGTATAGGTTGACCACTCGACGCACCAGCATGATAGCTCGTATTAGGTACTGGTTGACTTGTATTAGATCCCAATGGTGTACAAGGCGTCTCACATACATCGCATAGGGTTACATGAGGTGTATTAATCAATGTACACTCTTTACAAGTCCGACTATTGAATGAAGACTTTTCCTGCTCGTCGTGTCCTACTATCGATGCTATTGTTCTTGGTTGCATAAGCTAAAGAAAGACAAAAGGGTGTAAGATTTGACTATCTCTTGCGCAGTGCAACATTGGTAAACGAAAAGCCATAGAATACTACTTTAGTATGGTATTTGGCCATGACGAGTAGTGGCAGAATTCTTACATTCTGGTTGTGAGAATTCTGCCACCCTCACCCAAGCTGTGTTAAAATCACCCGCAGTACGTAATTCGAAATAAGACTGATTATAGTAAGTCTTGAAGTTTCGGAAGCACCCACATCTTATAGTCAAATCATTAAAGCTTTTGAATGTTGATATGAGAAGTTAGAGCAATTATACTCTAATGATCCATTTTTTAGTCCTTTCGAAAGTTAAAGGTTTTCTGCTGTATGTAAAACATCTAATATCCTTGCAATACTACAAACGTTTGAAGCAGGTTCGATCCCATTTTGATAGTCTGTAAAAGTTTTACCGTAGACTGTCACAGCTATGAATGTTTTTTTCACTGCAAATGCCATAAAGTCTTTTCTTGAAAATCAATGATGTACTATTTTTGGAGTTTATATGAGCTGACGGAAATTATGGCTTACGTCATCGTTCTTTGTTTGTTCTTTCAAAGTCGTTTTCGAGTCACCAAATATTGAGACGAGCAAAGCCATAGTGTCTTGGCAGAGTGGGCATCGTTGATTATTGACTTCAACACTCAATTTCAAACATTAGCGATGAAATGTATGTTGACACTTTGTTGTCACCAAAACCTCTTTGCTCAATGCATCGCGACAAATAGCACAACTTCTTTCTTCATAATCGTTGGTCATTTTGTAACTGGGAGGTTGATGTTTTCGTTATTGTATATTGATTTGGCGAGTAAAATAAATGCTGCTTTCGTCTTTTATGTGATGTATGTTGATAGAAGGAAAAAACTTGATAAGACGCATGTTATATTTTTCCTCTATGATTAAAAACTTCTTGTTGAATCATGTCGGTAATCAAATAAAAAAGAAAGAGAAAGAGACATTATACTTCGAAACAACAAATTTGCCCCTAAAAAATTCATCAATTACGTCTGACGTAATTATTTTATCGGGCCATTCTTATTTGATCGGATCGGCTACCAAAACAAGTCCTTGTTTAATAGAGCTGGGTGTCGTGAGTTGTGGGAGAGGATGAAGATGAGCCGTATATTAAAACTCAACCATATCCACATTCTCACACATTAACCGTCTTCGCCGAGATAGTAACAGGCTGTGGGTGTGGGTGTTTGAACAAAAATACTCTCACGTTCACGTCAACACCCACACCCTACTTTCCGCTTATTTAATTCTGAGATTTTAGACAACTTAATAATATCGTAGACGTAAAGCATCTACTTTATCAACAAGACCTATATGTTAACTGTTACAATTCATTAGGCGTGTGGGGTTCAGGTGTATGATGAGATTCACGTGTAAACGTGGACAGTAGTGTCTATTTTCGGTAAAGCTGCAGTCACACCCGCAGCCACACACACCCTCAAGTTGGCAGCTTCGTGGCAGAGAAGGCTTTTTTTACATAGACGTATTGATCGAAGAACAAGGAATCTGTAATGATGGTGAGACGCTTTTTTCCTTCTTGGGGCAAAGAAAGTTGCCTCCCATTGGAACGGTAGAAATAACAAAAATTGTTTCTTTTTCTGTAAAGCAAAGTTGAGTGTCACTATTGATTTTGCGTTTGCCACAGAACCTCATTGTGAAATTTGAAAAATGAAAGGTAAGCGATGACTGCAAAGTCTTGTATTGATACAATCATTTTTTGCCGCTGTATCATATCATTGAGCATCCGATATACAGTGGCTAGTGATATCAAAACATATTTTCTGTCGAGATAATGTGTCAGAATATATTTTTCAGGCAAGATTTTAGTTAAAAGGTGACCGGAGCATGTGTTAAAAGCTGATTAGCCACTTTACTACGTACAAATAATCCAAGTACCTAAGTCCATACCTAATACTACTAATGTAGTAGAACGTGATAGGAAATCATTCAAATAATTTACAGATTTAGTATTGCCTCACATAATCAGTGAATATTCATGACACATTTGCGTTCTTGTTTGAGTACTTCCCATGTTGCGAATATCGGATCATTTTTTGCGGTAAACCGTGGTATTTATCCTTCCTGTGGTAATGGGAGCCGGTAACCGGACCGTTAAAGCCGTGGTTAACCGCCGATTTTCATGCGGTTTTTATTACATGGGTTTTTAAAGTACTTCGACCGGCATTCATATACTTGAGTGCCCGTATCGTAATGATAACTACTACCCTGCTGGATTCGCATCGTTGTGCCAACATAAGAAAGGATCATGTCCCATGATCAGTTTTTCAGGCAAGAATCTGTGAAAATCTAAGCTTGAGATTTTCTCCCAAGTCCGATTGCTGGAAATGTCATGCAAAAAGGATGATTGTAGCGAGTGTGGCTATATAAAAAAGTTTAGCTAAGTTAATTACTTTAAAAGTGCCCAAGTACTTCCTAAATTGCAATTGGAGAGCAGTTGGTTTAAATACTTGAAATCTGTACACATTATACAATGGCGATTTCTTGTAAGATTCTGTATAGTAAGAAAAAAATAGGAATATTTTCTTCTTCTGGTATAAGGGTTAAGCTTGTTATTGTTTTATATAGATCATCTTGTTTCAACGTACGCTCTATTAAAAATCAGTTCACATTTTGGTCTATTTCAATCATGTGTTGTTGTTGTTGTTGTCATCTGGCTTGCTGTTACAAAGGATTACCGGCGTATCTTGCGATTATAGCATTGTTTGAATTTATACTTGGTATTGTACGTATTGCTGTCTTTTTTTCGCCATCATCATTATTAGTAACAAATAACAAGGCTGTTGCTGGTTTTATTTTGGATTGGATTTCATGTATTATACCAACTTTAATGGGTCTATTAGTTGCATTAACAAGTTTAATCATTTTATGCGCATGTTTAGCTGCAATGGGCGATCGGAATACAGCAGATACACGCGAAGAGGGTTCAACAGGAAGTGCTCTAAAACATCTGTGGAAAAATAAACCGCTACAGCGTCTAATACAATTAAGTTGCAATTGTCCATGTTACATTGTTCGACCAAAACTTCGATTTCTAATAAGACTTTTATTTTTATTTGCCTGTTTTATTTTTCGGATTATTGCTATTGCTCTATATGCATCAGCTGGTAGCGATACAAGTGGTGGTTCACTCGCTGGTATTTGTGCCCTATCACTAGTATGTTTGTTTTTTACATTCCTAATTGACCTATATCAGTACTGTGTCTGGTGGCATTATAGACCTCAGTGTGACACTAAGTGCAGTATGGTATCGAAGAAGCATAAACGTTATATTCCTTATCATTTAATGGGTGATAATCGAACCATGCGTCTTGGTGATAAACCTTGTCCTAATAGTTTTCAATGCAGAAATCGTCATTTAGAACATATCCTCATATTTCACTCCAAAGCTTTTAAGCCACAAGAACGTTATTGTGATGTTCAACAAGAATCTTCAGGAAAAAATCTTTATATTGGTTTTCATCGAACAACGCCGGAAGCAGCTGTGACCATTGCCCATTCAGATTTTGCAATTAGTACCAAATATGAAAGTACTATGCTAGGTCATGGTGTCTATTTTGCTCGATCAATGGAAGAAACCGAAGGTAAAGCTAATGCTGATGGTGCATATATATGTGCTGAAATTGAGATGGGTAGAGTTAAAGAAGTAGGCCCGGAAGATAGAAACTCTCTGCGAGGCACAACACATTTGTGGAAAGAATATGATACAGTTTATTACAATCATCCTAATGACAGTCGTGATGAGTTTTGTGTCAAAAGTACAGATCAAATATTAAAATGGGTTATGGTGATCAATGAAGAATATGATAAAAAAGTTCGAAACTATGGACTAGACACAGAATTTAGTGATACGACATGCGGATGCATTTAGAATTAAACAAGCAAATAAATGAACTGCTTTGTCGTATTCAAAATTTCGATGTCTTCTTATATTATTTTTAGTGACTTGAATCAAAGCCAGCAAATATTTTGGGTGTGATTGTACGATGAAACAGAATTAGCAGCTACATCCACACCCACACCTTTTTTTCTATTCCACAGCGAAAAAAGATTCGATTGAGTTGAAATTTTTACCATATTATCAACGTATTGTCTCTTGTTTATGTATTAAATTTTAACAAAACGGATTAAGTTTGTGGATTCTCTACAAGAGTATTAGGTTCGAAACTCGGTATCAAAGTCTGCATTTTTTCTGGTATGAACGGAGCATCATAACTCTAGATAAGCAATATATTCGTGAGCAGCACACAAACTGCATTGAATTATGTATCTTTTTGAATAAACTTTTCGAAATACATTCAGACTGATAAAGACTTTTCATCTATTCATGTCATCGTCTAATTTCTTTTGGTAGGTCCGAAATATAGTGAGATATTTGGCCTGTATTGATTCACAAGGAGAGTTAACTCATTATTCACTATTATTTTTGTATAGCCTATGGTGGATAGAATCTGTATGTAAATAGCTTTGAAAACTCATCGCTTCCTGCAGGAGAAATTCGCAAAAAACCTAACGGCAATTGTTTTTGAATCCTACTGTACTTGTCTTTTGCCAATATCTCAATAGTTTTATAGCGAATTCGGCTGTTCATATTGATGCCATCAGTATTTTTGGGGGAAAATGTGATAAAATTACATTTTTTTATTTTACATCAATGTCATGGTATCTGTAAAGTTTTTTCGATATAAAATTAACGATGGATGGTTGTCAGGTAGCGAATCTACAGCAAATTCAACACTTTTTTTAAAAGCATTATTTGCTGATTGACTGTCGCCTTGTCTTTTGTAAATTTCCCCAATATTATTGAATATTGTCGCTAGAATCCCATGACTAATTGTAGAATGATCCTCTATTATTGGTGACGAATAAATTTCATTTGCTTTTTCACAATATTTCAGTGCTTTTTCACAGTTACCCTCATTCATACAGGCAAAGCCAATGTTATTATATGTTTTCGCTACTTCATTTATGCGAAGAGGCTTACTTCTCATATCAATTTTTAACGCTCTTTGATAATATTGTAATGCTTTCCCATAATCTTTCATTTTATCATAAACGCTGGCAATGCCATTATATAGGACTGCTACTCCGAATATTGGATGCGAAGATGGATACACTTTTTTATCGACTATTCTTATTTTAGCACGAGATAAATGAGTTTTGAGAACGTGAAGGGCTTTTTCATAATGAAATAATGATGTCGCTAAATCATCTGTTTCATAATAGATAAGACCTAAATCGCTGTGAACTGACCACTCTGAATATTCGTCCAATTGACGATTGTCAAGTAATTTCAAAAAGTGCCCTTTAGCCAAAGAGAAATCCCCCATAACGCACAGAAACGAACCCCATGCTGTTTCAGGAAAAGGAATTTTGTCGAGATTAAGAAATCGTTTGCATTGCAGTTTCATTTCTTGTATTTGAGTAGTTTCATTGTTTGATAAAGTCAGTTTTATATGTTGTACTTTTCCAGGTTTCATCTCTTCCACATAGTCTATTCCAAATATTGGTCCAATGCTAAATAAAACTTCACGTTCTGACTCTTGAATGACGTTTTCTTGTAAATAAGCATATGGTTTAGTATCAAGTTTTGGATCAATTTCTAGCTCAAAAAATACTGATTGCACACTGTCAGTAGCTCCATCTCCAGCATAGCGGAGAGCTACTACTGAGTCTTCCGACGTAGAAAGAAAAGTATTCATTGAGATCAACGCCTGAGCTGAACATCGATTAAACTCTTCAATTGTCATTGACTGTCCACGATAAAGATTCAATGTTTGTTGTTCCGGTCCTAATGTGCTAATAAATTTTGGGTGCGTATTAACAAGATGAGTATGAAGATCACATATATAATATCGAAATTTGTATATTGTATCGGGATCCTGAGTTCTAAGTGCCCAGTTCACTATCCGATAAACAAAGGTGTCTTTTGTATACCAAGCTGCTGCATCTTTCGATTTGTAAGTTTGCTCAAATTCCAAGACTTTACTCGAACATACGGTACTGCTCGAATATGCTTTTCGGCATGTATCCATCATTTCTCGCTTTGCATCCTCATTATGTTCTAGTCGTAGTAAAATATCGATCATTATGTGATACCACATGAAAGTAACACTTTCTTGTGTCAGATTCCGCATTGATCTTTCTATTTGATCAGAATTTAAAGCATTAAATGGTACGCTTAAATTTGTGTAATACAAATCAACGTCAGATTTCAGTTTCAATACAAGGGTAGTCTGTGTAGTAAAAACGCCGCGTCCTTTAGGTTGTAGTATGAATTTGAATACTTTATTATCTGGCTTGAATTCGTGCATTTTATTATCTGGATCGAATATATATACCGATTTGACTCGTGGCTGACTAACCAGTTGAAACATCATCGATTCATCTGTTGCGTCCTCAGGAGGAAGAACAAGAAATATGTCTTCCTTTGCAACCGATGAAATGTACTCTACAGCTGAAACAGTATTTATAAATGCTCGTATGTAATAGATAATTTCGCGCATACGTTCTGGCAAATGAAATTTTTTCAACAATTTATCAACGTCGGGATCGTCCAAGTTTCGGTCTATCCAAACAAGAGTTAGGCCTTCGAGATTCTTATCATCTTTTTGCCTTTGTCTATCACTTGGAAATAATTTGTCAATTACACTCAGACTCAGCGTTGCTGTTTTGGTTATAACCGAGTCAGACACTGTGTTTTGTAGTGAGGATCTGTCTTTAATAAACGACCAGTGTTCTCTCTGACCCACATTTAAGAAATCTGAAATCACTTTCGCTACTGTGTTGATCATAACCGGCTCAAATGTTTGTTCTTGTAATACAGGTTTTGGTTTGTCTGCTACTTGGTGAATAAGTTGACTATCGTTTACCAACTTGTTGACTGGATCTACAGTTGCTTTGAACTCATCGTTATTGGCTTTTATCACTGACAAACATTTATGCTGCATGTTTAGAGCGTTTGTTTTAGCTATTGGTGATAGATTCTCGCTCAATGAATTAAGAAGATGATGAATATCGCTTATCTTCATAGAATCTGTAATATATGGATGACAACAAAGTACTGTCAGTTCTTTTTGGTAGTTTTCAAGAGCATTTTCATATTTAGCTGTGTGATGAAAAGCCAGGCCTAAATTATGGTAAATCGGCACCAGTTGTCGATGATTTGCAGGTAATATTTTCAAGCTAATTTCAAGAGCTTTTGTAAAGCATTTCAGTGCCAATTCATATTCACCCATGTGACGATAGACATAACCGGCATTAAAGTATGACATGGCAGTTATCGAATGGTTGGATGGTAATGATGAGAGATGAAAGCGTAGTCCGTTTTCCATATGTTCTCTTGCTTTAGAATGATCGCCTAAACTGTTATATATTAAACCGATAAGATTATCACACGTACCCATTGATACATTGTCTAGTGGAAAACGTAATGATATAACTTTCAATGCTTTTTCAAGATGGTGTAGCGCTTCTCTATTTTTACCAATGGTTGAATAAAGTTGACCAAGATGAAGAAATACGTCCAGTTGCTCCTTTTCTTTAAGATACGTTTGCTGTTGGCATTCTAATATTTGAATGGCACTCTCATAATGCTCTATTGCTTTAAAATGCATTCCAAATTCCATGTAAATGTAAGCCAAATAATTGTGGACAGAAAAACGTCGTGGAAAACGTGAAACAATCTCTTCGTAATAATTTTTTGCATTTTCAAATTGATTAGTCCAGACTAGAAATTCACCAGGTGCCGATAAAGAGTCCAGACTTCCGATTTCTTCTTTCACAACTGTTAACGGATTGTATGTTTGATCTTGTACAAGACAAATACAAGACATTCGACTGTCAGCTAATTTATGGATTGACTCTATACGAAATACAGAGCCAGGTTCTATAATTATTTTGCAGTTGAATTTTTTTGCCGTTTTGCACTCTAGTTGGAACAACACGGAGGTACGCGATGTTGGCTCAATACTAGGATTCTCTGTTGCCCAAATATAACTGTTAACTCCAATCAAGCCACCAATATTCTTTTCCATATTTTCCAGATCGTCGATAGACACATTTTGATGCCAGTAAATTGGAGTAGTGACGTGCTCTGGTTTTATTTTAATGATATTATCTTGAAGATCACCCAAAAAAGACCCTAATGCAAATATCATTTCAATATTTTGCCTTGATATTGCTTCATTAACGAGAGGATATATAAACGTATTTGGTGAATACCACGCCAGGGCATTCTTTACTGTCTCATACGTACGTGCAAACTCCTGCACACTATTTAGCATATGTAAATGTCCGTGGTAGTGAAATCGACTATAACTAACTGTTTTATCCGCAGAGCACTTCATGGTTGACAAATGCAGAACATTTTCAAAATACATTTTGGTCCAAATAAAGTTGGCCTGCTCTGCAGTAAGATCGCGGGCGGTCAGCTTCTCCTTTTCTTTGACCGAAGGTAATAAGCAAAACGTTGCTTTGTTGCTATAATAATTCTGAATGTTTTTCTCGATTAATTGACAAACATGATTTTTCCCATTGTTGATATCATTAAACTGATGTTTTTCATCCATTTCGGACGTTAACGTGAGCTTGTAAATACATTTTTCATCTGTAATACATTTCAGATGATTATACACTTTTTCATCGTTCACATAAGCCCCCGACAAGACCACCAAAGTAAGTTTTGATTTTACAGAAACTATCTCTTCAATACAGTCGACAGCAGTATAACAATACTTAATGTCTTTCGTAAGATATTTGAACCGATCATCACAGTCGATCTCATCTCCAAGAAAAATTAATTGATAATAATCATTGTAATCAACAAGATAGGAATGTACAGGCTTGCATTTTATTTTAGTTTCTTTTTGTTGAAGTGGTTTTGTTAAAACTTCATTATCAAGAAATGTTAATATCGTATTTTTAGTTTTGGAAAATTCAACATTTTCTTCGCAATCAAGAAATAATGAAGTATTTGAGGAAGAAACACTTTGCAGAGTTGAAGTATTGGCAACCAAGTCTGTGTAGTTGAGTAATGAAGGTGTTTGTTTAGAATTGGGTAATGCTACATTCGACTTCGTGAAGCTAGCAGAAGAAGTTTGCCATAAACCGCTGATGTTGGGTTTGACATGAACTTGAGAGAGGGTGTCGTTTACATATGATGGGGAATTTGAATTTGCGGCAAAATCGATTTCATTAAAATCATCTCTATTTGTGACAAAATAAAAACTGTACTAGTATACCGCTATACTATACNCCGCAATGCCACTATACCGCAATACCGCAATACCGCAATAACATTTGCGGTATTGCGGTATTGCGGTATAAGCATTTTGATTTTGCCGCAAAATCAAATTCCCCACCAACTCGTCGTTTATTTCTGTTTTCCAAGGTTGAGTTTGCCTTTGATAAATGAAATATATATATACACACAAGCAAAATTAACAATTCTCTCAAACTGAGAGTTAACATTAATGTACAGATATTACTGAAATGTTATGAATGATTCCGGTGCAATGTGGAAATAATTGAACTGAGGCTATTTTGAGTATACAGACTATTACTCACGTCAGATTGTATATAGGAAGTTTTTCTCCTTGGACTTAGTCTGATCATACAACACAAAATTCTGCCAATAATGGAAAGAAATCATATTTTGTTACTATAAAGTTCATTTTATTTCAGTAACTGTAGAGCATAAGCTTTACATTTCACTTTTCGTAGTCTTAGTGAGATTTAGCTATGGATGAAGACGAAGTCGAAAGCTTAGAAAGACCCAAGTATTTTCTTCAATGACCTAATAATATAAGTTAGGTCTCTCTCTTAACAGCAACTCTTTAAAAGCTCAGATTTTCCAACCACAATTAAACTAAAACGTTGTAAGTTTTCAACGTAAAATACGTAGTTTGACGAATGTAAGCATGTGAGTTTCGAAAACTTTATATTTTTTAGTTAACTATCAGTGAAAGGATCCAGTTATGACAGTAAAATTGAACCAGTCCGTATTTCTAAAGCCTATTTTCGTCTTATGAATGGCCAATTATAGTTAAAAATTCTATTTTGTGGAACTCACATATATTTTCGAAGAAAATGGTGAGTGCAAGTTTAAAGGCGAGGTTTTTGCGGCTCCCCACCCCCCTTCCCCATTACAGGCATTAATGAGTTCAAAGTTGTGCTAATTAGGAGCTTGACTAATTAGGCTGCTATTTCGTCCTTTTTCAATTACAGATTACACGAAAAAAGCAATGTTTGCCCATTACAGACCATAGTAACTAGCTTAGGGTACCATTACAGACCATAGTAACTGGCTTAGGGCACCATTACAAACCATAGTAACTAGCTTAGGGTACCATTGCAGACCATAGAAACCAGTCTCTGCCCTTGTTAAATATACGAGCTAACAATTAATACTCAATTACAGACATAAGTGCAAATAGGCAATGATCTAATTATAGGTTTTGGAAATCAGGGTAGATTTATCAGATGAATTATTTTGAATTATTTTAGTAAGCCGAAGGGATATATGTGAGTTCCACATTTTAGCCCCAAAGGGACTGCGCTAACAAGCTTTTTCATGCATTTTCATTTGGTATGAAATACATTTTTATATCTCTTGAAATATGAGCTGTACTCCCTACGCATTATTATTTTTTACCCGGTATAAAATGTTCCCGAGAAGTCATTTATTAGCTAAAGCATTAAGATAAAATTTTATGATAGTTGATCAGACTACTTGCTGGATAATTATATTTAACGTTCAGACGAAAATTCTCGGCAACATAAAGCGCTATTTTCCGTTACTTTCTAATATGAATCAATCACTATATTGTTCAATTTTAGAAGATCTATGCATCCTGTTTGTTTGACAGTTGTGGTAGGGATCTATCAACCATTTGTTCTTATTAAAAACAGTTAAAAAAGCTTTTCAGCTCAGCCACGTTGGGGCTAAAATGTGGAACTCACATCTTTCGGTCAGTTAGATACTGATCAAATAGAAGTTTTGTTTTCAGCGTAGTGAGATGTTATTCTGTTCAAAAATAAGATAATAAAGCCTTTTTAACATTTGAAGTTTATTCGATCTATCAATAGGAAATATTACTAGAGAGAACGTATGAAAAACTTTTTGTTTATAATATGTCAGTATACTGAAGTGTTCAGTGGTTTCATTGAGAAATATTGTGAATGATAATAGTTTAAACAGTATTTAGGATATAGCTATCAACTATTGTTCAGAAATTTATATTTTTTTCGTATGTCTGCAATAATAAAAATATATAATATTGTCGCAACTATGGACTATAATAATAAAAACGACAGATTTGGTGATTAATTAGAGACTAAACCCTAATTAAAATGATTTCTAATTAGTGAAACTAGCTTTTATTACTGATATGAGTAGTGGTGAACATAGGCAATCGACCTGTACCAAAAACGTTTCTAATTAGTGCATCTGAGTGTTAGTTTTTTATGTTTTATGCCTGTAATGGGGAGTGGGTGGGGTACAGGGGAGCCGCAAAAACCTAACAATTCAACTTACACTCACTATTTTCTTCGAAAATATATGTGAGTTCCACAAAAGAATAACATCATCGTGATATCAATACGGCGGGCGCTTTGATATAGTAAATGTCAACAGTCACTGTCTCTCTTATTGTGTTACGAGTTTTGCGTAGTAAGACATACCGAACGGTGGGACTAGCGTATTCGTCTTGTCTTGATTGCGTTTTACATTGTGTCACTGAACTTCTATACAATTGCATCACGTCACCACACTGAGTTTAGTATTTGTATTCGAGAGCTTGCTTCTACAAAATAATATCAGTTTCATTCAATCCTTTTGTAGTCACCAATAAAAATCTAATCTAGCCATAGGTCCATAAGAAATTAAAAGTATCCTAGTCTAACTTTTCTTTATAAATATACAGCATCTATATCCTTTAGATCTCTCTAGTATCTTTAGCCCCTTTAGTTCTAGTACTATCTTATATTCTGTCACTATTTTTAGCTATTTCCTGTCTTCGGCATCTGTTCAGCACTCTTCAGTTAGTTACCACTTTTCACTGTATTTGCAACCTGTTCACCTTAGTTTGATGAATGTAATGGTCAACAGTATATTTTGCAAACAGTTCACTTTAGAAACTCCTTCGAAATGAAACGCTCTATTAATGAACATTTTAAACGAGAAAAATCCATTTGAATAAGCGAAAACAAAGCTAAAAGTTGTAATATTTTATTCGCCATTGTGATAGCCTATACCAATCTTTCAAATTTTAGTAGCAAATATTTGAACATATATAGCACAGATATTACATCAGGAAAATGAACTTGTTAATAAAAAGGGATAAATGATAGGATTCTATGGACTAAATGGACTAAAGGGGCTAATGGGGCTAATGGGATTAAAGGGGCTAATGGGATTAAAGGGGCTAATGGGATTAAAGGGTACAGCTGCTGTATATTTATAAAGAAAAGTTAGACCAGGATAACTTTAATTTCTTGTGGACCCCTCAAATTTAAAAGAATTCTCCAACAACGAGACACGAACGAAATTTAAAAGAATTCTCCAACGACGATACACGAACGAAATTTAAAAGAACTCTCCAACAACGAGACACGAACGAAACTTAAAAGAATTCTCCAACAACGAGACATGAAAAATAGTAGAAATAACTAAAAGCATTAGTCAGTCACTATAATAGCAATCGGATTTGTCTAACACTGCTCATTTTTTTCATGTTGTTGATCATTTGTAATACGCGTATGAAGATCAAAATATATCTGTTTAATATATTGTTTTAACACCGTATCTTTTATGTCTGAGCTTTGTGTAACCTTTATGAAAGAAAAATAAGATATGCCAAGCAAAAGAAGTATCTAAAATTTACCGATCCATACAAGTTCTCTAATTCATCAAGGCTTTTATGAAGATCATTGGCAAGATGATTAACAGTGAACATACGATCATCATTTATAATCGGATCACTAAAAAACATTAATACATTTAATACATATATTTGTATTTTCAAAAATTTACTCTTACTTCGGTTCGTTGATTAATGGTTCTGGTATTGATAGACTTCGTTGCAATTTAATCTCGGTTAGATTATGATCATTACCATTTAATGTGCATGTTCGTAAATCATCTGTCGATTGAGGATATTGTTGCTTTTCAAGAGACGTGGCCAAGTGCCCAGGAGTCGGGAACTCTTCGGGAATTGGGAACTCAAAAAAAACGACAACGAGTGATGTGAATCTAAGGAACTCATGAAAGTCAAGGAACCCACGATACAGTGTAAGTGTATGTATCAAGGAAGGTAGTAGAAGACACCCGCAACCACACCCTCTCATTTTCCCTGACTTTCCTGAGATGCTTCCCGTGTTGTGGTTTCACATCGCTCGTTGTTGCTTATTTATTTTTGAGTTCCCAATGAATTCCCGACTCCTGGGAACTTGGACACTGCTGATGAAAATAATGGTTCAAAAATAAATACCGATTGCGCTTACCTTCGCAAATTTGACTCGTTGAGCTTGTTGCAGATGTTGCATAGGATGGTACATAAGAGTGAGACAATGATGCTGATGATGTCGTATTTCCGGTAATCTTATTCAGCGAAGTAGTGGATGAACAAAGATGACCTTTGGATTCTAGTTCATTATCTAAATTATAATCAGTTCAAATAACACAGATGAACTAAAAATCTTTAGAAAAACTTTTCATTCGTCCGAAAGTGCTTTGTATGAATTTAGAAATTCTATATCTAATTTGGTTTGCAAGCAGTAAGAGAATCTTTGAAAAGCTTAAAAAACTAGTTTTTGTACACTTTGGTATTAAAAGCATTTCAAATTTTCTTTTCATATTATTACCAGTTTTTCAAAATCAATTTTTTGACCAAAATTGATCTTATGTAGAAATAAATTTTCAGAAAACGCCAATAGTGTCATTTTTATAAAGGATGCGTTATATTTTGTCAATCAATATGAGCTCCACAAAACCCGCATATGCAACTATTATCATTACCTTCATATATGGGTAGAGAATAAAATCCCGATCGTTTTCCACATTTTTGTACTTATTTATTACATATAAATATTTTTTTCTATTACTCTAGAAACAATTTAACAAAATTTCCAGGTATGAACTTCCCTCCTGTTTTAACTTAACAGCAATCAGTAACTTACCACAAGTCTGTGGATTTGTTGGTGATCTCGGCGGTACTAATTTTGTTCCCATATCATCGATTGTTGACGTGGCTACAAGCACATCTTCCTGTATCGTATTTATTGGTATTGATAATGTATCCGATTCTCTTTAAATGCAAGCTTATGAAAATGATTTCTTTTTTTTCTATTTCACACTCATTACGCTGTATCTTGTGATTGTAAACGGAAACGAAAAGAAACACTGTTTTGCCGTTCAAGTTTATGTTTTGAAACTGTGCCATCAACTGCTGTATTGACTGTTGGTTCTTCATGATCATAATTTGTAGTAAAAAATGAATTCACTTTTTCAGCTGAAGTTGTATGATTATCTACATAAATAAACTTATAGTTTTCTTTTTCAATTTTAATGCAACAAAAAAAGAAAAAAACCTTCATTGGAAAAAGCTGACTCATCGTCTTGTAGAAAAATCATTTTATCACTTGAACTAAATATTTGTGAATCAGGGAGTTCAGTTCCAAGTTGCTAAAAACAAGTAGATTATTTTTACTTGAGAACAAAACACTCTTTGGATTAATACACACTGGTAAACCAGGTTCAGGAGTTGCCAGTAAACTTTGCGGAGAGCTTGATTGTAGTTGATGCTCTTCAGTTGCACTCGATGTTAATCGACAACTTGACGGTGCAACACCTAATTCTTCGATATTCCACACAAAAATACAGCTAAAATTTCGATTAAAAAATGAAACAAATCTGAACGTTCGCATCGATGTGTTACCTATCACCAGCTGTTGTATACAGATGACGTCCATCATGACTAAATTTTAAATCAGTAACGATGTCACCATGACCACACAATGATGCAACACATTCTGATGTTTTTGTATCCCAGAGATAAACATATTTATTTGTAGATGATGTTGCCAAATATCGTCCGGATGCATCGATATCGATTTTAGTTAAATAGCCATTATCATCACCGATTGAACCTTTACCTATTCGAACTCGTTTGCCACTTTGAGTATTATAAACTCTAAAAATTAAACATAGTCTATAACTTCTACAAAAAGAAATAGAATGATAACCGTATCATTCGATCTTGGCAAGCTGTATAAATTAATTCATGTGAATGATCGACTGTTAAATCGTGAAATGTTTGTTTTTCAAAAATGTTATGTGAACGAAGAAATTGATATTTTCCATTTTCATTCTAAGGAAAAAAATCGAAATCGTTTTTGATAAATACTAACCTGATTGTTTTTCAAAATATTTGTTAACTTTTATATCGCTAAAGAAGAATCTACGGTGATAACTGATTTTTGTATGAGTCAAACGGGTCCCTGCTTAGTTAATTCAATATTACTAATTTTTATCCTAATGGATCTAAGGAATTGCACTGACAGATCAAACATGATAGATACAAAAAAGGAAGTTTACTTTAGAAATTGATCGAATTATCAATGATTTATCAGCGCTGCATGAAATTAATTGTAGATTGGAAGCTATGGAGGAAAATGTAAAACGAACAGCAGTTACAATTCCGGAATGATCAACTAATGTTGTTACTAATTGATAATCTCTTGACGCGTCAAATATATGAAGAAGGCGATCGCGACTACATGATGCCAGAAAAGTTACATCTATAATTTAAAAGCAAAACTGCAATAAAAACTGATCTTAATTTGATAGATGCATACTAACTCATATCACTTGACTGGCCATAATCAACGCTAAGTACTTCACTCTCATGTGCTTCAATGAGTTGTATTTGTTTAAACGTTTGGATGTCAAATATGCGAATATTTCCAATAAGATCACCGATAGCTAATGATAAACCATCAGGAGACATTTTTATACAACGACCACCGGATTTTGGTGAAGATTCCGATCGCTCTAAAAACAAAAAATCAAAGGAATTGTTTTCAATAAATACAAAAAATGAAATATTTCGAGAATTAAAATAATCTCACCTTGTGTTCTTGGACTATCACATAGTTTTGAATAATCTTCCTCTAAATACACAATTTTCATTAATTCTCTACCAACTCTATTGGCAGCTTGCGATGAAGTAAAATTTGAATCAGTTTCATCATGATTTAATGACCAAAAACGTACAGTATTATCAGATGAGCATGTTATAAATGTCAGCGGACGAAAAATAGAAGGTGACGCACTTGTCCAAGCATATGTCTAGAATAATTCAAATAACAACAAAACACATAATAAGTTCTTACTTCAATTCCCCAACCACATCCTGAATGATACAAATGAGAAACACGTTTTTCTATCGATCTTTCATTTTTTATATCCCAAATATAAAAACTATGATCATTATAAAAACATGTTAACTAAAATAAGAAAAATTCTTTCTTACGATACAAGAAAATAAAAGAATCTACCAGTGACTTATCTTCATCTAAACAAACAGCTATCGTATCCGGAAATGAAATATTGGGTTGTTGCGAATGTGTCATTTGACTAGAAGACTGAATATTATTAACACAAAGACAAAAATCGAATATTTTTACTTAATTGATGTGATCAAACCAGTATCAACACCTAAACAATGTGGTAACGGTACTGACATAACAGATTCAAGAGTTTGGACTGATAGTATATAAATAACACCTTGTACACATCCAACAACAAGATATGAATCACTAATTGCTAAACAATTTGTTTTTTTCTAAGGAAAAATAAACTAGCATTTTTATTTCGTTCCTCTCAAAATCATCAATTACTTGAAGATTTCTGTTGGCACGCAATTTTCGATGTTCATCAAATTGAAAAATAAGACCATTGGCAGTGCTAGTATATGTCGAACCAGTACAATTGCCACGTCCACAAACAACATCCGTAAAAATATTATTTTTAAGTTCACCTAAGATTGCATCATGTCCACGTAATGGCACAGCATCAAGCTATTATTAACAAAAAAAAAGCAAAATAAAAGTGCTTTGTGAGTTGTAAATACTGCACGTCTAAGTGTTAAATTCGACATCGAATGGTCTAATCAAGTAGTACTTTTCACTAGAATATTGAGAAGTCAATTTTTTCCCTCTAAAGCGTTTATGTGTAATTAAAAATGAACAGCTTATAATAATGAGTTCATGCGTGTGTACTTGGAAAGAAATATCATACTGCATGTACAAGCTACCGTAGTTTAATTTGGCGCGGTGGGAATATCGTTTTTCATATTTTAAACCCAATGAGAGATTGCACTAACAATATTTTTCTCTCATAAAGCTCTCTGAAAGAAAAATCATCATACCAATGATTTTGCAGTAAAATACCAGAATTTAACGTGACGAATGCCAACTGTAACAAAATAACTTCCGTCGGCTGCAAAAGCAATACGATGAATCTAAATATGAATGAATAAAGTTATTTATCTGAAAGATCCACAAAAACGTTCTCTTACAGAACATAGACATTTATTTGAAGTAAGTTTTTTCTTATGCTGCCAATTCCATACATAAATATATCCGTCATGCGACGAACCAATAGAAACTAAATAATTAATTTTTGGTGAAAAACACTAAAAGAAATAATTAATTTGTTGAAAGCTTTCTGTTACAGTTAAAGAGAGACAAAAGAAATCACATTGACATGCAGTATGTAATAATCAAAGTTTGCGTACCACGTGATCAATAGAAAATTGATGGTCGCCTAATTCGATACAACTGTTTCTATCACCAGCTAGATCCCAAATACGCACTTTAGGATCATGGCCACTCTAAGACCATTCATAAGAAAGATTCTTTTCGTATTAAAACTAAAATATTTACTTCGCCTGTTGCTAGATATCGACCATCTGGTGAAATCGATAGTGATTTAATAGTTTTACGGGTCGTATTGATAACGAAATCTTGTTTCTGTGTGCTTCTATCATAAAGAATAACAGTACAACTAAAACAATATATGCGTAGAAAATAAATTCATTGTTGTTAAGTAAATATAATTTTACCCAGCAGCATAAGCTATTGTAGAATGATTTTGACTAACAACTGAACTAGAAATTGATGTAAAACCAAGGACATGCTCAAGAGTAACTTGAAACTGAACAAGAAATGATTGTCTTTTCATCATTAGATCATACTTCGATGAAATTTCATACTTGAGATATACTTCTTGATGTAGCCGATGTTTTTGGTTGACGCTTAACTGCAGAATATGATGTCATATTACCAAGGTGTGTTTGTCTAGGGCAATTTATAGAAGGTAAAGATAAAGGATGTAGAGAGTTTAGGGGTGGTGGCGTACATCATTCCTATACATTAATCGAGACACCCACACCCGCAGTTCTTCTGAGAAAAGTAGGTTTTTTATTTGTGATAAAAAGCCAGCCATGAAAATTAAAGAAATGCACATGAGCCTCGTAAATATTCTAATTATAGCTAATCATTTTCTGTCAATAGAAACCTTAGGCGGGTGTGAATCAGTCGTTCTCTCTCCGATGCAATCCCATATATCCACATTTATCCTTGCTATATATAGGAAACAAATAGTCAGATAAAATACGAGTACAACACCAATTGTCATTCTAAACTATTTGAAATACTAAACTCGTTTGATTGCACTGTCCGTCTTGTTCAGGATGATTTTCAAAAGCCTAAAAACAGCGCTCGACGAGACGAAGTACAAGCAAAAATCAAATACTGACATGTAATATAAATAGAATTCTTATTTCATGGATTTTAAAGTTACCTGATGAAATGAAAATAAACAACTCGAAAAGTAGAGACAAGTCTGCCGAGAACAAATAACATGAGATAAAAACCTTTTGTCCACTGGTTTGATAAAAAGCGAACGAATATAATGCGACATCTATTTGCAGTGAAGGAATATAAAAGTGTTCGCTAAAACAAAACAAAATATGAGTTTCATAGTGGATACAGAGGGTGTGTGTGGCTTCAAACAAGTCTCTTCTATTAGACCCCACTCTCAAACTCTTCGATTTTTCACTGCCTCTGGATTTCCATATTTTAGGTGTGGGTGTGAGTATATCTTGAGAGACGATAGGCACCCACACCCTCAAACTTTTTATTCTTATTTCAAGCTGCAAATAAATATATAATGGCAACTATTGCTGTTGGAGAACATTCGTGCGCTACACCGAAGTGTGGAAGGAAAACAAAATCTCGTTGTCCAAATTGTGTTCAATTAGGTAGAACAAATTATTTCTAAAAGGTATTCTTGATAGATCATATTTTTGTTCACAAGATTGTTTGAAAAGTTATTGGCAAGAACATAAAAAGTACACTCCTGAATCGGTCAGTGTGTCCGGCCTCTCGATCGAACTCGAAGATGAGAATGATTGGCCAAGACATTCATGTTATTATGTCAAAAAATGTGATTATCTCCTGTCCTTTTGTATGAGGGCAATGATTCATCTTAGTTTTGATAAAAAGAAATTTCCTCTTATAATCAAATACATCTCACAATGGAACCGTCTGTATTGTTGAGCGAATTGGGCGACCGGGTCGAGTGCAAACGATCACATTCACTGAGAAACTAACGAATTTAAAATATAAGCTGCTGATGGCTTACTTTGACAGAGATTTTAAGATAATCATCAGATTTGTTAGAAAGTACGTTTCCAAGATCGAGATCAGCTTTATTAACACCATTTAGACTACTTTAGATACGATTACTACTGAGGTTCAGCAGAATCGAATAGAAGATATATCGAGTATTATATACGAAAACTCATCATTTATCAATAGTTTCGACTTTCTTTTGCAAGAAGGTGATAAACCCATGTTGCGAATAACATTTAAAAAATCTACTATAAATGAAGATGAAGATCCTCAATCAAGTGAAAATAACAAAGATGTCGTTTGCACCAGGCACAAGTTAGAAGGGTTCGTTCTTCACAACGAGTAACTGAACAATAGAGATCATAAAATATAAAACAGACATCTTTTGGTTTCTTGACTTCATCAACTGTTTCGTTGAGTATTTTAGCTTGCAAGAATCCAGACTTGGTGAGATTTTTGAATTCTGGAGCCGATAATTGATTATCAATGATAGAGTGCATATTAATAAAATATTGACGATCGTTCAAGTTCATTTCTGTTCGGTTAATATGCACATAATGTTCAATTTTCTCATGAATAAGTCATCACGAACGAAATAATGATAGATCTTGCGGTTGAATAAGGCCAGTAGATCCGTAAGGAAAAATTAATAATTGACTGTCTTGATGTGGAAATACTGCTCTAAATTTTTTTAGATCAGTTTGAGTTATCCAACAATCAAGGAAAAGAAGGAATTTTCTACCGATCAAAGGACGTAGAACTTCATTCAAAAATATGCGATGTTTTTCATCACTACTTTTTCCAGATTTTGAAGCTCGTACAACAACATTTACTGGTACGATTAAATCCCTTTGTACTCTTGTGCCGAATTCATTTTCTTTTTCTTGGAGAATAAGAAAGAATTTATCTAATAATTGGCCATCAGCCGATGTAATAGGCTGCGCCGTATAGGAATGCGTTAGATTATTCTTTCTTTTAACAACAACTTCAGTTGTTCTTTCACCAGTAAAAGAAAGAGTTCTTGGAGATATATACTCTTGTTGAAATGAACAATGGTCACTATTTAAAATTTGAAAAGGAGAATAATTCAAAATTAGAGATCTTTGATTGTTGATCCAAACGTGAGCATCTAAAATATATATATACCATATTAAGACAAATAGATCAAAATTTTAAGTAAAAATTTACAAACCTTTCAAACTACAAGGTTTTCTTCTTGAAGATATCCGTGTAACAAGTTTGTTGTACCTTCTTGATGAAATATGATGTTCTCTATTGAATCTCCTAATAAATGGTTCACTTGCTTCGAAATTATCCCAATCCAGTTCTCTTGCTTTTTGAATTGCAAAAGGTTCTAGATCACTATCATGAATTGCTGCTTTTTCAATTGTTCGTTTCACATAGAATTCGTTCCACATAAATTCTTTGATTTTTTAAAATTTTTCTGATCTTGTGCCGTTTGCTTTAATATATTCTCTGAATCTTTTGATGTAATGCATGCGTTTGACTTTTCGGAACCTATTATTGATACTTGCAATTTTATAATTTGGATGTTGATCAACCCATTCTACTATACCTTCCATCTCTTCCAATGTAAAATTATTTTGAATATCCAAATATTGACTTTCTTCGTAATCGTCAATATTCTATCCTCATCAGTTTATTCTTCTTCATCAGCACTATCTCATTCGTCTGTCATTTCATCATTTTCATCATGGAAATTGAGAGATTCATAAGTGTGTAAGTCATTAAAATAACTATCTTTAAATGTCTTTAAAATTTCGAACAACTGTTGTGCAGCCAAAACTTCATCTTCACTTATTGTTGAATTTTGAAAGTGAAATTCCATTTGTGTCAAATGAAGAAGATGTTTCACAATGTTCACCAAATTCATTTTTTCAGTCGATGAGTCAATCTTTTCAAATATTAATCGCGGTGAAAAATAAAAAAGGATGTTACTTTGAATGCACACTTGATTGAACCTTACGATTGTAACGGAAAAATATTTAGGTCGCGTAAATATTCTTCAAATAACTATCGAGATATATAGAATTGCGTGTATATCCTGATAGGATGATGGACAATAAAGTGTAGATCAGTATCAGCTATATATTTTAGCCACTGCGTGTATAATATTAACAACAATTCCACACATTAAGTTTATTCTTGTCCAAAATGAGTTCCGTGTGTTGTCTTTCAATACAACCGAATACAATCGTACGTATTACAAAGCACAACTTTCTTCTAACTTGAATGGTTTAGAACTGAACTCGACTGCCGAACTGTAACGAAAAAGAGAAGAAGTTTAACTCTACCGTTATACGCGGCATTGATGTTAGTTGAGCTACTTCATTCTAAATCGTTATGACAAATGAAGAGGCATAGTTTAGTGTTTTACTACACGATGTTCATTCAACTATACTCTACATCCAAGTGTATCCATCTAATACAAAACACACGCTTATATACGCTACCAAGAAAAAAGAGAACGGAGAGAGAAGAAAATACATAGAGACAAAAGTTATTGAGAGAGAATGGGATACGGAGAAAGAGAAAGTTATCTAGAGAGAAAAGATGCACAGAAAGATTACGCACTGTTCAGTGGATGATTATGTGTTACGTCACTGCAGTATATTCGTCATCTCTATGACTTACATGGGGACGTCCGGCGGTTCATATAACCCCTATCTAATATAGTCCTTTACGCGGACGTACTTCTTGGCACAACGATTACCAATCATCAAAGAATATATTTTCAAATTATTCAGTGACACATCAATGCACTTAATTTTCGAATATCTCACATATTAACACTTTTCAAACACAATACTTGTTTTTTTGAAATCGACACTATTAAACTTTAGAAGAAGTCGTCACTTAGAAGCTGATATGAATATTTCATGTATTATTGTGTTTCTGCACTCAATTAATATGAAACTCAAAACTTCAATCTCTCTGTCAAAGTAGGTCATCAGCAGCTCATATTTTAAATCCGTTAGTTTCTCAGTGAATGTGATCATTTGCACTCGACCCGGTCGTCCAACTCGCTCAACAGTACAGACGGTTCCACTGTGAGCTACCACTGCGCTTTCAACATCTCTTGCCGATTTTGCTCCCAAACACAGCTATGAAGTGTAAATGAAAACGTTTCGTAGCTTTCTATTTAATTTACAACTATATTGCAGAACAAAATCGAGAAGAGATGGTGAGAAAAAAGTGACAGACCCAATCAGAGCCTACAACTTGGCAGACGTGTATGCATATCTGGAAGGTAGATGAGTATTGATGGTGGATGTTGCTGAAGACAGGATATCTACACCCTATCTATCCCACACCCTCCATCTAATCGCATTTCCTAGGAATCCTGAGCTGGGCGCGTCAAACTATTTTCACCAATTTTTCGTTTTCTGTTTATGTTTATACAGAACATCGACAACAAATTTTTCGGTGTACGAGATCTATCTCTTAGCGGTTGTGCAAAACAATCGAAATAGATTATACATTAAAAAGATGGCTCAATTACTGTAGACTAATCAACATAATAAGAATAGTGAACTTAACTCTTCTATTTTCTACAGTGTCTTACCACAGTAAAAATATATAATACTTTTGTAAAAGAAAACCTAACCTTGAACATATTTACAAGCAAAAATCATGTACTTCCATTTAAATTAAATGGTTTATTGTACTTCAACTTAAAGAATTCGATCTCATTAAATGGCCATATTCAGAAAGCACATGTTCAGCTGGCGCTATTATGATAGAAAGGCATCATTTTTCCACCAACCTTGTTAAAATTATCAATATTGTTTTTTAAAATAAGCGGGGTAGGTGTGAGTGAGGAGAAGATCGCACACTCACAATCTTTGTTGAGAAAACAAATAACATGAAATGAATGATGGAAAATTTTGATGATCAAAATACTGTGATATAACAATTGTATTATACGCGCATATAGACGTCATGCTGTGTTCCCATTTTTTGCTCGCATAAGCGAAGCCAATAATACTTATTTCTTCCTTTTTTCCCAACTCCTTGTCAGCCATAATTTTTAAGCAACCTTTCATATCTTTCTTTAAAAAAAACATAAAGATCTGTTATTGACTGTGTGGCTTGTGTGATCATCTGCATTTGCTGCGTGCTTGTATAATACTTTTTTCAGCTTACATTTTCAAAAAAAAGGAAAAAAGACATCATCAACATAAATCTTCTATTATAGCGTTCATTCTTTTTTTCTTGTTGGCTATGGATTTTGTTATCATCATCCTCTTGTCAGATCATATATTTTAAAGTTTGTTTCGAACGAACACAATCAAGATTGTTTGTGTTTTTTCTCTTTATAATATTACGATCTGTTTATTTATTATGGTTGATACACTGATAAGAACAATGGGCAATGATAATGATGATTGGAAAGGTGCTGTTGATAAAGGAGAATTTGATAAACGACTTGAACATCAAGACCAAGATCGTAAAGCTAAGCAAGTAATTTTTCCTGCGTGGCATCATAAAAATTATGTCTGTTGAATCTCTTTGTTGGGAACGAAATTGTCTTAAAAACGAGTGTCGAGCGTAATCCTGGAAGGATTTGGATTCATCGAGATCGCTAAATTCCTCATTGATATTACTAGTTCACATCGAACTTCGTTCATGGTGTAGAAGTATACCCGGGCATTCAGATTAAAATGGGTCTACGCCGAACTGGAACTTAATTGTCGAACACGTCGTGAGCTAGTGAGGAAAACTTCTATGACGAGATTTTTATTTAAAATTTGGTTCATAGTAGGGATGCACCAGTACCAGTATTATACTGATATACTGGTCTGTTAGTATTACTGGTCTAACAGCACAAATCTATGCCAAAATCAAATAACTGATAACATAAATGGAATTCTTGTCAATCACTCTAATCGTTTTCATTTACAGATGTGCCGATATTGATGGCACGCTTCGATGATTCTCCTTCCTTCTCTTTCTGTTCTCTTTCCATTGTTCTAATGTATCTCTCTCCTGTCTCTCTTCTATCTCTCTCCTATATATACGTGCGTTATGTATGAAGTTGTTACACTCTGGAGATGTCAGATGACACAATACATCATCATGCCGACGGGCATAGGCGATACTCTCTAGTTTTGTCGTTACACTCTGGATAACTTGAAGTAGCCTAATAAACATCTTTGCCGAGAGTGACACAAGCTACTCAAATCAAGTTGTTTGTTACAACAGATACACCAATATCCGGTAAAATACTGGTCACCAGTATACTGGTTTACCAGTATTACCAGTACCCAGTATACTGGTACTGGTGCATCCCTAGTTCATAGATAAATTTCATGATTAGTAAAATGCCCTGCATAATGCAGTGCAAACAAATAATATATTCTCGTTAGGATTTTGAGCGGCTAAGACGACCAGCAGTGGCAGAATTCTCACCAAGCAAAATTCAAGAATTCTGTTCATTTATAAACTATGCTATATTCTTTCTTTCCTGTATTATATTCTTTCTTTCTTTCCTGTG